AGGTTTTACTGCATATACATATAATTAATTATTGCTGACCTACAAAAATATTTGCTATTATAAGTGTCAATATAGTTATCCTCAGTTATGGACGTTGGACTTCTTAAAATTTGACCTAATGTGCGGAATTACCTAAAAGATTTTTTTATTTTTTTATTTTTTTTGAGTTTTTAATGTAAGAAATTTGATCTAAATTAATTTATTTTTAGGTGAATTTCCTAATTCATAAATCTTACTTCGATTATATATATATATATATATATATATATGATGAAATTGTCTAACATTTGTTTTTTTTTTTTTTTATCTGAATATGTATTTCTACTTGTAAAAATATACTAAAAGGAAAAATTTCAGCCAATTGTCTAACATCCAAATATCAAATTTGTCTTCTAGTAAATTTCTATTAAGATTGAACAGCCGATTTTGAAAATCATGTGTGGTGTGAATATTTCAAAGTTTTGATAAATAATAACAAATCATATGTGGTGTAAATATTTCAAAAGTTTTGATAATTAATAACAATGATGATAATAATTCTCTAATTATGATGTCATATATTAAAAATATTAGTAACATGCTTATTAATTGCCCCTACAGTCTTATTTGTAAAATATTATTTAAACTCAACGAGTAAATCTAACGATATTTAACCACTGTCTCGATAAAAGGAATATCAAATTTTATGATTAAAGAATTTTTGTATTACATATATAATGTCTGCATTCTTTTTTGGAACATGTATAGCCAAGTAGGAAGTATGGTGGGTAAGAATAAAAAAAAAAAAAAAAAAAGTGAGGAGAGCATGCATGTATGGAAAGAATAGTAAAAGAAGAGAAAAGAGTCATGGTCAAAGAAATAAAATATCCCAAACTCTTATTAGTTTGTAAGTTTGACTTTGTCACTTTCGTTGAAACTTTGAAACTCCGCCGTTTCACGGAAGGTGAAAGTGAAGCCGCGTCCTCCAGGGTCAACCCTTTGTCACCAATTTCCCCCTTCAATTATGGCCGGCTCTATTGCTTCTTTCTTCAATAAAATCTTCTATGCAACATGTGCCCATATATTTTTATTATTCCAATAATGTTATTTACATTACACTCAATAAAATGTAAAAATATTATACAGAATTTTGCTTCAATACAACATATCCAAATATATCTTACCGATTAAAACAAGTAATAAATTTTTATAATGAAAATTTTATTAGAATTTTGCTTCATATATCATCATAAATTTACTAATGTTTAATTAAAAGAAAAAATTACTTTTAATTTTTTTCGTATTTGAAAAATCAAAATCAGAGTGTGCAGAGTATTATTTTGAATGTACATAGTTTAATTACGTTGCATTCCTTGATTGGTTAAATATGTATACATCTTTACACACGATTTTCTAGGAAGACTTATTAATTCTAAGTTATTCAAGATGACATTTTGGCTCTAAATTCTAAAAATGAATTGTAGAGTTGATTATTGGAACATTTTGGTTCATAGATATGGATTCCAAATCTATGATATGTGGATCTCAAACTTAGGATAGAGATATTCTTGAAACTCAAAAAGAAAAAAAGGAATTGACTTAAAGGAAAAGAAAAATAAATTAAACAAAAGAGAAGTAATTTGGACAAAAAGAATGGAAACGACTTAGACAAATTGTTTTTGTCGAGAACCTTGGACCATTATTCAATTGAACATTTACTAATACGTAATTGATCGAATACTATGTCATATATACAAATTATTTATTTTCTCATTTCACAAAAGAAAATAAACAATAGACAACATTCTAGATTAATTCTATCCCAAAATAACATAGTATTTACAATTAATTAATTATTGATCAAATTTTCTTGTTACTAGTGAAAGCTTGAAAACTTCCAAAGGGTTAAACTCCAAACTATAAAATTTCCAAGTAATTTCAGTGTCAAGATTAAGGTTATTAACGATAGATTGTTGTAGTAAGTGTAGGTTAATTAATTATAATTATAATTAAGGATGAAAAGGACCCAATATTACATGAGGTTGGGACCTTATATTAAACTAATATTAATGTAAGTAAGATGGAAATAATTACAATTTTATTTCTTAAATTATTTCGACTCCCTTATTTGTTGATTTTACATTTTTACCCTCTCCAATGCAATTTGATGGTCCTCACGTATATAGAGAGATTGAGGTGGAGGATCAAATTAGATTTTTAATTCTGATATCATATAAATTCAATTATTATTAAACCAAAAAAAGTTATTCAATAAGATAAAAAAATTAAATTTGGTACATATACGAGGTAATCATTTTCATAGCGTGGAGCTGTAAAATAGACTCTTAAGAAAACTCATAAGGATCGGAATCTTGTGACACAATTTATGCTGTTAACGACAGAGAAGAGCACTAGCTATGCACAATAATCAAGATAAAAATTTGACTCTACAACATCGGTGTTCGTGAAGAGAATTAACGGATTTGAAAGAAGTGACACCAAAATTTCAGTGCTTTTCAACTCAACCTAACCTAATTTCAATTCGTATTTGTGTCATAAAATAGTTGTATAATGTGAATGATTTATCCCATTAAAATGACTTCAAACTAAAATTCTTGACCAAATAATGAAGATAGATGTTTTCCCCAACTTTACAAACTCTATCATATTCATATGTTATGTCGACGGCTTTTTGGGCATTCATTCTAGATGATAAGATCATCTTGGTTTCATTAATTTATTTATTTGGCAGCATGCTCATATTCTTTTCATTAGTTAGGTATCCATTGCATCTTTTTCAGTTAGAGATAGAATCTTTATATTTTTATCATATTTAATTTTCTATTTGAGGTTATAAAATGGACACTTGTACCACTACCATTGAATATGATGAGCTAAAATATTATACTAGTTTTTAACGTGCACGGGAAATTATTAGTACTCTATTTTTTATTTTAGTTAAATTTTGCCTAAAAGTTTCTCCTTTGTATTGTTTAAGCACGTTTTTCTTTTTCATTTTAAATAGATGATTGATAGAAGCCAAAGCTTCTTCTCTAGTTATAAAACCTNTGGAAATAATTACAATTTTATTTCTTAAATTATTTCGACTCCCTTATTTGTTGATTTTACATTTTTACCCTCTCCAATGCAATTTGATGGTCCTCACGTATATAGAGAGATTGAGGAGGAGGATCAAATTAGATTTTTAATTCTGATATAATATAAATTCAATTATTATTAAACCAAAAAAAGTTATTCAATAAGATAAAAAAATTAAATTTGGTACATATACGAGGTAATCATTTTCATAGCGTGGAGCTGTAAAATAGACTCTTAAGAAAACTCATAAGGATCGGAATCTTGTGACACAATTTATGCTGTTAACGACAGAGAAGAGCACTAGCTATGCACAATAATCAAGATAAAAATTTGACTCTACAACATCGGTGTTCGTGAAGAGAATTAACGGATTTGAAAGAAGTGACACCAAAATTTCAGTGCTTTTCAACTCAACCTAACCTAATTTCAATTCGTATTTGTGTCATAAAATAGTTGTATAATGTGAATGATTTATCCCATTAAAATGACTTCAAACTAAAATTCTTGACCAAATAATGAAGATAGATGTTTTCCCCAACTTTACAAACTCTATCATATTCATATGTTATGTCGACGGCTTTTTGGGCATTCATTCTAGATGATAAGATCATCTTGGTTTCATTAATTTATTTATTTGGCAGCATGCTCATATTCTTTTCATTAGTTAGGTATCCATTGCATCTTTTTCAGTTAGAGATAGAATCTTTATATTTTTATCATATTTAATTTTCTATTTGAGGTTATAAAATGGACACTTGTACCACTACCATTGAATATGATGAGCTAAAATATTATACTAGTTTTTAACGTGCACGGGAAATTATTAATACTCTATTTTTTATTTTAGTTAAATTTTGCCTAAAAGTTTCTCCTTTATATTATTTAAGCACGTTTTTCTTTTTCATTTTAAATAGATGATTGATAGAAGCCAAAGCTTCTTCTCTAGTTATAAAACCTTTTTTTTTAGAAAGACTTTCTAATCAATTTTTTCGTCTGACTTCTGATCAATTACAATACATAAATATTATTTTCACATAGTGTGGAATCTTGTTCACACTAGCGGGAATCATTTTATTAAAAAATCAAAATTTATGTGAATTAATTTCTAATAATTACATCATCCCATTAAATCAAATCAATGTTAATGTATGTATAAACTTTTTAAACAAATTTATATGTTTTAAGAAAATCAGATCACTTCAAATTTAGAAAATAAATTAAATAAACTTAAGGAAATTAGACGTCAAACATACATAGTTTGTATGTATTGCAATACTGATTTTGAATAGTTGATTTTTTTTTATAAGTAATTGTAAACAATATTGTCAATTTAACCTCTACTTCGGTGTAACAATAATCCATCAAGGTAAAATTCAGTACAAGATTTTTTTTTTTTTTTTTATTTATAGACATAGAATATGAAAAAAAATGAATTTCATTTAAATATATATATTGTGTACGAAGTCAATGTTAAAAATGTTATTCACAGTCTTTAGACGATCAAAGTAACAACGCTTTAAAGTTGAATCAAAATCCAAAGGGTAATGACTATCAATAGGATATGAAATAGTACGATATTTACAAATTATTGAGGCTAAATTGAGGATTATATATTTAGTTGAATAAAATGCCAAAGCTAAAGCCGTTGAATCTAAACCCTTAATTTGATTTGATCAGAAGGTTCCAAAGTCAATGAACACAAAGAAGAAAATCATACACAAATTTCTTACCATTTGGTATTCATTATATTTTAATCATTTCGTATACATACAAAATAAAATACCTACATACAAAATAAATAAATAAATAAAAATACCATTCTCTGGTCTAAAAGGTCAATTTGACCGGCATGCTTTTCCTCCAACCTTCTTCCTTTTCGCGTTTTCATACAAACTTCTCTCTTATATAAGAACACCCTCCATCAGAAATTCATCATTTAAACTGATTAGATAAAAGCCTAACACTTCCAAAATCTTCTTCTTCGATCCCTTTCTCTTTCCCATTTCTATATAAACTTGTTCACCGTCTTCATCTCGTTCAGTTCTAAAGTGAATCGACTTTTTAGCCAGCTTTATCTTCTTCAGAATGAGAACTGAAGACGGGAAAGGCGCGTATTCAGATAACAATTCCGATACCGAGAGCATTTCCAGTGACAGAACCGCCTTCAGTGGCCCTCTTGGGGCCGCTATTCATAACAACAAAAGGGCATCCAAGAAAAGCGCGAGGTTCAATCTCTCTCCAGAGATAATAAACGGTTCAAATCCAGGAGCTTCCACCAGTAATCCTGCTGATGATGATAACTACGTTGAGATTACTCTCGACATTCGCGACGATTCGGTTGCAGTGCATAGCGTGCACCATGCCGGAGGCGGAGAAGCTCTGCATGACGATCCGGAGCTGTCTTTGTTGGCCAAAAAGACGTTGGAGAACAAATCCTCTTCCGTTCGTTCTTCCTTGTTCCGCAACACTTCGTCACATATTAGACAGGTTTCGCAGGAGCTGAAACGCCTTGCTTCGTTTACTAAACGATCGAGCAGGCGGTTTGATCGCACAAAATCAGCTGCTGCGCACGCCTTGAAAGGCCTCAAGTTTATCACTGCCAAAACTGGAGCTTCTGGAAATGGATGGTCTTCTGTCGAGAAGCGATTCAACGACCTCACAGCCTCCACAAACGGCATGCTTCAGAGCTCCATGTTCGGCGAATGTATAGGTGACATAATTTTACTACTACTGATCGCCGAGAAGTTAAAATTTATGATGATGATCGATGTAATTAATCACTTAACTATCGATTTTTATTGCAGGTATGAACTCGAAGGAGTTTGCGGGAGAATTATTTATGGCGCTGGCGAGGAAGCATAATATAACTGGAGATTCGATTACAAAGGCACAACTCAAACTATTTTGGGATCAAATTTCTGATGAGAGTTTTGATTCCAGGCTGCAGACTTTCTTTGACATGTAATTTTCTTTCTTTCTTTTTTTTTGGGATTAAGATTGATGTTTGTTTTCTTAATTATATGCACTTTTTACTAATTACACAATTATTGGTGATTATAGGGTTGATAAAGATCATGATGGAAGAATCACAGAAGAAGAAGTCAAAGAGGTTGGTGAATTCATACCTGGTCAAATCAATTCGTTCACATTCACCAATAACAAGTTTAGAAATTGTTGACTTTTTTCTTATTAATTAACAAGTTGAATTTGGTTTTGTTTTTTTGTAGATTATAACTCTTAGTGCTTCTGCAAACAAGCTATCAAACATTCAGAAGCAAGCAGAGGAATATGCAGCTTTGATTATGGAAGAATTAGACCCTGATAATGCTGGATACATTATGGTAATTAATTCACAAATTTGACTCATTAATTTTTAATTTTCCGATGTTTAATTATGTAATTAATTAATGTTTGAACAGGTTCATAACCTGGAAACCCTGCTATTGCAAGCACCAAATCAATCTGTGAGAGTTGGAGATAGTAGAATTCTGAGTCAATTACTGAGCCAGAAGTTGCAGCCTACACAAGAGAGCAACATTGTGACCAGAAATTATGAGAAAATGAAGTATTTTCTCATTGATAATTGGCAAAGAATCTGGATTATGATGTTGTGGCTCGGAATTGCTTCGGGATTATTCGCGTATAAGTTCATTCAATATCGACACAGAGCCGCGTACGATGTGATGGGGTATTGTGTTTGCATTGCTAAGGGAGGAGCAGAAACTCTTAAATTCAACATGGCTTTGATTTTACTACCAGTTTGCCGCAACACCATAACTTGGCTTAGAAACAAGACCAAATTAGGCCTTGTAGTGCCCTTTGATGACAATTTGAATTTCCATAAGGTAATAAATTGTAACACAAGCAACATTTTCGACATTGTTTAGGGTTGATTTTGCAAATTATTGATGTGCCCTTTGGTTTAATTTGTTCAGGTGATTGCTGTGGGGATTGCAATTGGAGTTATTCTTCATGGTGGAGCTCATTTGACTTGTGATTTTCCCAGGCTTCTAAATGCCTCAGAGGAGGAATATGAGCCCATGGAGAAATATTTTGGGGATCAACCAACAAGTTATTGGTGGTTTGTTAAGGGAGTTGAAGGAATTACAGGGATTATAATGGTGGTGTTGATGGCTATCGCTTTTACACTCGCCACCCCTTGGTTTCGACGCAACAAGCTCAACCTCCCTAAACCCTTAAGAAAACTCACCGGTTTCAACGCGTTTTGGTACTCACACCATCTCTTCGTTATAGTCTACACTCTTCTTGTCGTTCATGGAATTTATCTCTACCTCACCAAGACTTGGTATCAGAAAACGGTAAATGTTAATTCAACTATGTTGTGCTCTTTCTTTCAAAATCGAAATTCTCTCTTAATCTTAACTGTTTTTGTTAATGATAATTACAGACATGGATGTATCTCGCCGTGCCGGTTCTTCTTTATGGTTGTGAGAGGTTGATTAGGGCTTTTAGATCAAGCATAAAGCCTGTTAAAATTCTAAAGGTTGCTGTTTATCCTGGAAATGTATTGGCATTGCACATGTCAAAACCTCAAGGCTTCAAATACAAGAGTGGACAATACATGTTTGTCAATTGCGCAGCTGTCTCTCCTTTTGAATGGTGGGTCTAAGATTGAGTAATTTTACTTCTAATTAATTGTGTGTTAACTGAATCACACTAAAGCACCCATATCTTTTTTGACAGGCACCCATTTTCTATCACTTCAGCCCCCGGAGATGACTATCTAAGTGTTCACATCCGAACTCTTGGTGACTGGACTCGACAACTCAGAACTGTTTTCTCCGAGGTTAGTTATTGTGTTTAAATCAGATTTAAAGTCTTTTAATTATTATTTGACTAATTGTATTGTGTTTATATAATTTAAGGTTTGTCAGCCCCCACCGGCCGGAAAAAGTGGACTTCTTAGAGCCGATTTTATGCAAGGAGGAAGCAACCCAAGGTATATATATATATCCTGTTGTTGTCGAGAATATGAATCACGATGATTTAAAATAATGTTTTATTAAATTGATTGAAATGCAGCTTTCCCAAGATTTTGATAGATGGTCCATATGGGGCACCAGCACAAGACTATAAACAGTATGATGTGGTGCTACTTGTGGGATTAGGAATTGGAGCAACACCCATGATCAGTATTGTCAAGGACATAATAAAAAATATGCAATCGGATTACAGTTCAGATATAGAAAGCGGGAGATCATCAAATGGCAAAGGATCCTTCAAAACACAAAAGGCATATTTCTATTGGGTGACGCGTGAACAGGGTTCGTTCGAGTGGTTCAAAGGGATAATGAACGAAGTGGCGGAGATGGATGAGAAGCAAGTAATAGAATTACACAACTATTGCACAAGTGTGTATGAAGAAGGAGATGCAAGATCAGCATTGATAGCAATGCTTCAATCTTTACAACATGCTAAGAATGGTGTGGATGTGGTCTCAGGAACAAGAGTTAAATCCCATTTTGCAAAGCCAAATTGGAGACAAGTTTACAAGAAAATTGCACTCCATCACCCAGATTCTAGAATCGGTAAGTTCAATTTACCTTTCTGCCAAATTATTGTTGAAAAATGAACCAAATTATTAAAGTTTTGTGTATTATTTTATGCAGGAGTTTTCTATTGTGGGGCACCGGCACTAACAAAGGAGCTAAAGCAATTGGCTTTGGACTTTTCTCACAAGACATCCACCAAGTTTGATTTTCATAAAGAGAATTTCTGAACATGAAGATGATAAGACTGAGATTGTTGATAATGCCTTGGGATCACCAAAAATTACATCACCCAATTGCAAATAGTTTAGCTTTTAATTTAGTTTAGTCCTACCACACGTGATGAAATCTTAATTGGGTTAACGCTAGTGATACCCTTTGTAATATTTTTGAAAATTAATATTAATCATATTCATTAATTCATGTCTCAAAGTCCAATCTTTCGGCTACTAACTGTCTTCTACTAATTTAATTATTTTATACAATTTAATGGATGAATTTTCTCACCATATAGTATCCGGATCGGAAATTTACTAAAAAAAATTTATCTTTTTAAAATTTGGAAAATTTGTTAGAAGCATTATAATTTTTCTGTTAAATTCAATGATAAATAACAGTTTATTGGGGTTTTCAAGTGTAATTTTTAAATTGCTACACTTTTTCATTAAATTTCTGAAAAAAATTATTCCAAACTAACAATAAACAAAAGAGTTTAGTTATACTAAAATGTTCGTACTTATCTAATCATCAGTATAGAGCACACTGTTAGATTTTTTTTTAATGAGTAAATTTAAATGCACATGAAAAAGGAAATTATACTGAAAAGAATGGCAAGAAAAAGAGAAAAAGCAAAAGCATATATTAATTTAAATATGTAAGAAAATCAATGGTCCTTCACTTCTGTACACAAATTTTGATATAAAGTTTTAAATTATCAATTTAAATATTTTGCATGATTGAGATAAAGTCTATATAATATAAAGATTTCTCAGCCTTACACATAAAAAAATACACCATGTTTAAAATCACTTCAATATTATTGTCAAATGTTGCTTCCATCCACAGGAACAGTGATAACAATAATTGAGTAAGGTTTATAGTGGGTGGGTTAAATCACGACACGTACAAATTACAGTTGATGATATTATATATTGTTATTAAAAAATCTAAGATGGGTGTTTATATATATGATTATTGGATGGAGGTTTTGTCCCATCCAATGTTTTGATCTACATTCAATTTTATAAGGGTTTGGACATATATCCTTGAAATTTGAAAGTTACATCCATTTGAAACCCTTAAATTCATATCTAATTGTATTGTAGTACTCCCCTAAAACATTTTTTTTTTATGACCGAGGGTGTCTTACGCATATCTCAACTAATCTCCCGATACCCTGAAACTATCAGTCGGATAAGAGTTTCAGTGGTCACCCCTATTAACAACTGAAGAATGACTCAAACTCAAAACCTCTTAAATAATATACCCAAGAGTCCTTATCAAATCCCTCAATCACTTCCTTAAAACATTAACTTAACATTATTATTATTATGTTTCAATCACTTACTTAAAATATTAACTTAACATTACTATTATTATGTTTCAATTAGATGGATAGAAACAATAGACCAATAATTGAGAATAATTTTCAATGAATCTGATTACTTGATTGCCATTGTGTCCCCTTAAATGCATGACGTCAACATTATAATCATGTTACTTCCATCCACATGAACTAGCGGAAAGGTTTTCAAATGAGGTTGTTTCAAACATGATATATATAGTGTACAACTACACTTATTGACATGATATATCGTTATTAATGTAATTTAAGATAAGTGTTTCATTATCAAATCACACGTGTTAAGGTTTTCAAATTAGGTTGTTTTAAACACGATATATATAATGTATAACTACATTTATTGACATTAATGTAATTTAAGATAAGTGTTTAATTACGACAAACGTGCAAATCACACGTGTTAATGTGCTAATGGTTTACAAATCATAGATGTTATGAGACTGATTCGAGATAGACGTTGAATTACAATACACATATCAATCATACACGTTAATGTGATCTATTATTGTCAAATGAACACAACTTAAACAAAAATAAGATGAACGTTTAATTACATCGAATATTGTCTTTTCTACAAAGTGGCCTGGATTTAACCTAACTTGCGTGGTTAGATGTTGGAAAAACCAAACCATGGTCATTGGCCAAACTATAAATTATTAATTATGTCAATTATTTTAATGCCCTTATTTCAAAAAGCAAATCTTCCTTTTTGACATAATAATCCCAATGAAGACAAAATTGAATCAAACAAAATTCACCCACTTCAATGACCTGTATTCTTCTACGCGTAAAACACTCACTGGCATTAGCCTGGACCTCAACATTTGAGATGACAAGATACATGCACTTGATGGAGAGTATACATCATCCAAATCCAAATGAGACCTATTGTTTGAGACTGCCTAAACGACAATATAATGTATAGTACAAATATCTTTCTACTGTTAAAATAAATATTTATTAACTCATCACTCCTCAACGGCAATGGATTTGTATTATTTCTAAAATCTAAAGGCAAATTTTTTATCTGATTAAAATAAATTGGCCCCCATAATTTGTTGAATATCACAATTTAGCTTCCTTCAAATACAATTTACCACATTTAATTTTATACTTGAATCGAAGGTTAATCAGGGATTCATAGTCAATTGTTACACAAATTTGACCCAACAATGGAACTTAATAAATTAATGCTTGGAAGCTTCCCTTTCAAGATCACCAAAAGCTTCTTTCCTTTTCCATTTTTTGAATGCTTAAATTGAAAATAAATTTTAGGAAAATTCTACATATCCATCTCTAAACCCACTACAACCTATCTTCCAATGTATCTAAGGATTTTACTTTTATTCTTGTTTTGATTTGAAATTAATCTACAAATTTTTAATTTGAAATTAACGTGTCCATGAGAAGTCAAAAGAAAAAAAAAAATTTGTATCTTCATTATTTTGATTCCAAATATATTAGAAATCGAATAAGTTAACTTCTTGGTTAACCCTACTTTGAAACACCAAAAATTCCAATAGAAATTGAAAACAACACCTAGGTCTTTGCCAGTTTTTTGAAGAATTTTTATGTAAGTCTAAAATAACCCTCATCTTTCAATTTTTATTTTCTCATAATTAATAGACTTATTCTAAAATTTTGACAAAATTTTCAGTTAACAATAGTTTTTTTTTAATAATTACTTTTACATGACACAAGATTAAGGGCATTTTAGACTTTTACAAAAAATTAAATAGTTGGTAACTAATAAGGACCTAAGTGTTACTTTCAGATTCTACTGGACCTATCAATAGACCAAACCTCAGAGACCAAAATATATTTAACTCATAAACCGACCCTCGTTCTCATAATATCAGTTGCGTCACAGGCATATGGTAAACTCTATATTTGATGAATGCTAATTATAAAAGAATATCAATGATAATACAATAAAGAAGAACTCATCTTGTTCTTGTATGATAACAAATCATCCTCAGCTACTCGACGAACAATTATCATCGACTCATCTCATCGGATCAAGATATCTAATAATCTTAGAAAATAAACGGTTTATAAAAGAAATCACAGAAATTGAGTTTCCCTCTTCACTTTAGATAGGGCATAAACTTAAGATCTACATGAAAAGCACCTATGATAATGTCTTAAAGATAATAACAGATAAGTTTTTGATACAATGACATTTCTATGAGATTCTCAAGACCATCCTTTCCAAACCTTTTGAATGGTTTCTTGAGGATTATTCCAAATAACTCCTATTTGTGTTCCAATAAAACTTAAAACGACGTCCTATTGGTTTCATTAGGCTAAATTCAATAAATCTATTCTATCTTCTGTTTTCTAAACTAATTCCCTGCCTTGAACCTTAATTTCTCTAGAGTTCCACAACAAACAGAAAATTAGAAAATATTTTACACCTAAATATACAAACTAATAGTCAAGGAAACAGTGTATCACTCCATGTTTGCATATAAATAGTGACAAGCAATGTCAGGATTATATTTAGAATAAACAATAATATGATCGAAAGTAATTTAGACTTAAGGATGCAATTGGTTTCTCACTCCAAGAAATAGAGATGCAGTGTCTCATACGACATAAACTCACAAGTCAAGCAAAGTGGAATGCAGATCAGCATTGAGACTTTGCGGACTTTGCGGTCCAATGTTAATTAGAATTTTTGTTTGGTTAGTTTGAAAATTTCCAACATTAAGCATTTTCCTTCAGCAAACTTGGTTAACTTAATTAACCTGACAAAAGACTTCAAAGTACCTCTCTGTGGTTCAAGAAAAGAAACACAAAAGAAGCCAATTTCGAACCTCAAAGAAGTGTATAATTTAGATATTAGCAGTACATCGCAAATATGATGGTTCTGAAGTTCCAAAACATGACGTATGAAGATAACTAAAGTACGCTAAATGAAAAAACAAAATTGCGTTAATAAAATCTGTTATTGACTTATTTTCATACCCTTTCCTTTTTCACCTTTGGAGGAATGAGAAGAGTCTACATTTTTTTTAGTGTCAGGACCTGACTCACTAGAGAGTTCGGTTACTGTGATATCGGTAGAGTACTTTTTGATCCGCAAAGAAATTGCAATGCTTGATACAATCCCGAGTAGGGGAAAGAGGTAAGTCCAGACCTGAGATTTTTTTGAGCCAGATGCTGAAGCAACAGCAGCACCGGCGAGGCTGCCAATAGACGTGTTCTGTAAGATCATTGGCAGACAGCCAATAACTGTAGGGAGCAGAAAATCCACCACGAAACCAACTTTGGTGGCAGCTAAGGCATAGTTTATGAGATATGAGGGCATGGGTGAGAAGCGAGCAAGAAGGACAAATTTCCAACCATCTCGTTCAACTCCTCTTAAAAGAATATGGAAGTATTTGTTACTCTGAACCCAATTCATTGCTGATGTTGAACTCCTGAAAATTAGCCTGAACAAATCCACGATGTCAAAAGGGTTCTCAAAAGAAATTTAAAAAACCACAGAGAGAGCAACAAAAGAGGCAGAATCCTAAGGGAAGTGTTTTGGCTCAAGATATAGAAATTCTAATATTTTAGAGAAACAAACCATTTCTGTAAGTCATGGTGAATTTATTTATGTTTCCTGGTTCAAGGTGTCCTCTCTAGAACAGGTTGTAAGTATGTGACACCTTTGCATTTTATTATTCAATACAAAAACACAGTTTCAGGAAAACGAAGGAAAAAGAAAACTATCAATCATGCTAAAGTAAAAATTGCATAATTCCACCAAGACAATTAAATTCTGGACAATTCTCCTTATCTTAACCTCAATTTGTATCACACAAAATTTCAATATTAAATCCATTTTCTAATAAATAGTTTACAATTTTGGAACTCTTACAGTTAAAAGTTAGTATTTCAGCACACTTATTATTCGACTTGTTTCCAAATGCCGACATGCTGTAAAATGCAGCATGAATTAGACTTATTGATTGCTAGACTTACAAATAAAATAAAAAAATATCTCTATTGTTCAGATATAATTTGTTTTTGAGTCAGAGGAGTTGCTACAAATCTATCCATTCTATTGAGATTTTCCATTTTTTTTTTTTTTATTTTATTTTATTTGGGAGTAAGGTTACATTAAAGTCTATTTAAGAACCATGATGAGAACAAAAGAGTCAAATATTTCATCTAACACTTGCACAGACATTGGTTTTGGTACCCTTAAAAACACCAATTGGTATTTTCCAATTTTTTATGTAACACCCAAAACCTAATATGTGGCAACCACATATTTTATGTGCAAATGAAACCAAGATTCAATCTGAGAACTTCTAATATATATATAGGTATTCTCTTTTGTGGAAATCCCCATTTTTTTTTAAATCTATACCTCAACTCTAAGAGGCAAGAGTAGAAATGAATTCATGAAATTTTGTCTTTTATTAAATTCAAGTTAACAAAAATAAAAAAATAAAATTTTGTTAACTTTTATCAACTCACACCTCTTGGAGTTGAGCTGTCGATATTAAGTCTACATTTTAGGTCCACACATAACAGGCTCGAAGATAATTGCTAAATTGTGGACCTCTAGCATACACTGTGTCATAAATTGGAAGGGCTAAAAACCACAAAATTGTTAAAGTATTAAGCTGTCAGCACAAGACATTTCAGTTTGTGCATGGAGACTTTAAAAAGTCTCAATGCTCACAACTTTTTTACATATTATTTCATATTAATATATTTAATAAACAATAAACAATAAACAAATGCATTCAATCCATTTAAACAATCAACTGCAAACTCCACTACTCTCCCAAATCATCCGAAAACTCTCCTATCAATTTTTTTGATAGGAAACACTAGCATATTGAAGTATAGAAAAAAGATACAAAGGAGGACCAGGTGTCCACTGTAAGAGACATAAATCACTACAAAAATCACAAAAATCTTGTATATATGAACACTGAAAAGAGAGAGAAAACAGCACCCCAAAAACCACAAAATCAGAACACCTCAACTCAGAGCCCCTATCCAGTTATGAAAGATGAAGAAAAATGAGGTATCTTGGAAATCTCTTGTAATTGACACCAAAAGAGCAGCTCCTCTCAATAACAGGAGCTACATAACCAAATGATAAGCTTAGTAGATTCCATATAGAGGCAGAATTTTCAAAATTCATCCAAAAAAGAAAGATAACTAAACTACAGTTCTGTTTTGGAATATTAATAATTTTCAGCTAATGTCAATATTTAAAAACAAAACTTAATGTACTGGTCTCAACTAAAACTCGTTGATAGATTAAAAAAATATTAAAAAATAAAAGGCAAAGTTTACCATACTTCAATCAATTTACGTATTTGAGAGTTAGGTGTTCATTTAAAGTCCGTAATAAAGGTCCATATCTGAAGAATTTCAAATATACAGCATGAATTCCTAAGGATTCTGCATCCAAAAGGAAACACAGAGTAATGCTATGATCCTGTTAAATTTGAGTATAAATCCCAATATGATTATCATGTACTAAGATCATAAATCCTTCTTTCATGGATAAAACACCTAATAGACTTAACAAAAACGATCTTAAGTTCTAGATTCAATCAAGAAAAAGTTTTTACATACACCACAAAAATGCAACTGACACAAACATATTTATAAATAAGGCCTAGGATCCCCTCAAATGACAGACTAGAACATCATCATCATACATTCTCCACAAATGAGCAAACCCTTGATAATACTCTAAGTCAATGTTTTATCTAAAACTTGGAATAAAATTACTGCCATATACATTATAGACGGTTTTATTACCTAAAATCAAAGAGAATCTCTACCTTTTCACTTATGAATACAAGATATATAATTGCACTTTAGGTGCATAAGCAAACCAATTAAAACCAACTCGAGAAAATAAGACAACTTCAACGACCTCGGATTCTCATGAACTTTTCAACAATAAACCAAACAAACACATGCAATTACACAAAGCCACAAGTAGTTTTCATTGAGTAATGCTAGACTTAAAAAGCTTGAATCTTGAAGTAACAACGCCACATTAATTATTCTTAATATAGCACTGACTGAGTGCGTTACTTTTCTGCAAATATGATACTGATCCAAAGTTGTGATCCGAAGTTCCGAACTTTGCATACATATTGTTAAAGTATATTAAATCAATCCATCTTCTAAAATGCCAAAACACTCTCAAACAATAAATCAAACATCTAAACAAAAAAAATTCACCTGCAATCTCCTAATAACCAATATGGGTAAAATAAAAACACAAAATAACATTAAAAATCAAGAAAGGTAAAAGAAAAGAACCTGCCGATCCAGAATGAGAGAGAAGCTCCAAGAAGCTTAGCTGAGAAGACACAAAGCACAGCTGGGAAGAACCCGAAAAGAAGAGAAGCAGCTGCCTCAAAGAAGACGGCGTAAGGCAAACAAAGGGCGATAGTGAGAGTGTGAAGTCCAACAAAAGCTGGCATCGCCCAAACGCCGAGTTGATCGGACCACTCGCCCAGAAATTTGATGGTGGCGTCTTTGTCCCATCCGTATTGCTTGCTTAATTGCCTTAAAATTGCTATTACGGCTACTATCAATCCTATTTTCCACCATTTCGCCATTGTTGTTTCTCTTGTTTTTGGGTTCTGTAAGACTTTGCGCAGCTCAGCATCGAGATGAAGACGACGACAAGAATCTTGACTTCTTGTTTACTGAAATATTGGGCTCAAAGCCCATTTCTCAAAAAGCCCATTGATAAAATTCACTCACATCATTTTTTATTGGGCTTTCATATAATAACAAAGTCTCACAGTTAAAATTTATAACAGGATGAGTTCATGTTTTAGTGTTACGATAGGGCGCATTTTATTAAAAGACCACGTTTAAGTTCAAATTCAATTAAAGAACCATGAAGTTTTAAAGTATTAATTAAATAGCTTTATTATTGAGTAAAGGTAATTAAACATGATTAGTGGTTAATTAGGATTAATAAAGTATTGTGTAATCTTTTAAAAGTTATACTATGTCCCCAAAAACTTGAAATTCTTGCAAACAAACCCAAACACCTTCTTTTTCTTCCTCCCGCCATTAACGTATCCCTCCCCTAGTTGTTGTTTCTTCTTAGCTTCATCTACATCTTCATCTTCTTCTTCGACTACATCTTCATCTTCTTCTTTGTCTACATCTTCTTCTTCGTCTACATCTTCTTCTTCCTCCACCATTAACATTTTCTTCTTCCTCCACCGTTAACATCTTCTCTGTCAAAGATCCGCCTCCTCCTCCTCCTCCTGACATTTCATCCAGGTATGTGTATCTCTTCTTTGCATTTTATATTTTGATTTACAAAAACTTAATGATGGATTGGGTTTGGGTTTGGGTTATGATTTTGATTTAGTTGCTTAGGTTTTTGGGTTGTGTTTGATGTAATGCAAGTTGAAATGAGTGAAATTTGTTGAATATTTTTTTTGCATTGTGGACAGCTAAGGTGGTAGCATCGATTGTAGATGGAGATGACTAAAAATGTGTTCTAGATCTGATGGATTGTTTAAGCGAGCTAGTATGTTTGGTATAATGTAACAGATCGCTTAAGCGATTAGGTATATGGCAAAAGATTGCTTAAGCGATCTGCTATAAGTCTGATATATGGTAGAAGATCGCTTAAGCGATCAGACTTATTTATACCAGATCGCTTAAGCTATCCAGTAAGCGATATACTAGATCTCTTAAGCGATACACCACATCACTTAAGTGACTTTGTAGATGCTTTTTAAAATCTGTCAACCCTTAATATATCGATTAATAATTCTTGTTTTCTTGCATTATAGGTACTTGGCTATTATTAGACATGTGACAAGTTATTTTGGATGTTGATTATTTTGGTGAGTGTGTGGAGGAAGAAAGTTGTTGGAAGTGGATTGGTAAGAGCAAACAAGTTAAAGCAATTATTGTGAGTACAGAAGTTAGTTTTAATGAGTTGATTGATGAAATCACTAGAAAATGTGGGTTGAGTTGCTCACGTAGTGATATAGTTGTGAAGTATGTTTTAAGCAGAGTTCCTATAAATTTTAAGGTACCCCCTGTTGTATTAATGTCTAATAAAGATGTGAAGTTATATATGCTTGATGTGGGCAATAATGGTTTGAGGCCGATTTTAACGGTTTCGGTTGTGGATAAAGCTTTGGAAGTTGGTTCAAGAGTTAGCAGTGATTTGGGTGGGGAGAATGCTGGTTTTAATTTTAACTACGAGGGCATTGATTTCTTTATTGAAAAATCAAGAGTATGCGTTGATTTGGGTGGTGAGAAGGACACTGTAGAAGAGGTTGGTCATGTGGGGCAGAATGAAAATGTGGACGAGGAGGACCCCATACATGTTTCTGCAGATGTAGAGATTCCTATAAATACATATTATGCAGAAGGTGTAGTTTGTGAGGAAGAGAACATTATGGTCCTTTATATAGGTTCAGAGGCGACAATTGTGGGTACTAGTGAATCACCTCATGTTTTTACTGATGGATCAAGCTTGCGCGTAGGGTATTTATTTGACAACAAGAAGGAAGTGGTGAGGAAGCTAAAACTTGTTGCGATGAGAGGTAATTTTGAGTTCATCATCAAAAAGTCTAATTCATCGGTAGTGACGGTTGCATGTCGTGACCGAAAGTGCAAGTGGCGGGTTTATTGTAGAAGGTTGACGGAGTCCGAAAAATTTATTGTTAGCACATATACCCATGAGCACACATATGGGTTGAGACATATTTCATGCGAGCATCGACAAGCCTCCGCTGATGTTATTGGACAATTTGTCAAAAGTCAGTTTGTTGAAGGGAAAGGTCTATCTCCTAAGGACATTCAGAGACTTGTGCACACAGAGTTGGGATGCGATATTAGTTATTAGAAATGCTGGAAAGGGAGACAACATGCACAAAAGAGCATAGGTACGCAGTATTAGAAGTGTACCATTATATGCTTGAGTTGACAAACCAAGGTAGCAAGACGACTTTGAAGTGGGACAAGAATATAAGGTTTAAATATTTTTTTGTTACTTATGGTGCTACTATAAGGGGTTTTATGAACATGAGAAAGGTGTTGGCTGTTGATGGTTGCTTTTTGATGGGAAAACATGGAGGTACATTGTTGGTGGCCACTACACAAGATAACGAGAATCACGCATATCTTGTTGCATGGTGTGTGGTTGACTCATAGAACGACAAGTCGTGGACTTGGTTTTTTCAGCAATTACTTACAATAGTGCTTGACAGTGATGAGTTGTGCATAATATCCAATAGGCACAACTCTATAAAGAAAAGGATTGCCATTATTTACCCTCTAGCACATCACAGATTCTGTATAAGGCACCTTGGCGAGAACATAAAACAAAAGTTTAAGTGTGTTAGCCTCCTTCAGACATACTACATGGTAGCAAAAGCTTATCGAGTTGATGAGTTCAAGGAGCACTTTCGGCAAATCTAAATCAAGGATGATAGAATTGCTAAGTATCTTGAGCATGACGTTGGTTTCAAGCGATGGAGTAGAACTTACTTTCTTGGAAGAAGGTTCGATGTCATGACCATGAACATAGCCGAGCCCATAAATTTGAAGTTGTTAATAGAAAGAGAGTTCTCAATTGTTGCCTTTTCTATGCAATCCAGAGGACATTGTCATGGTGGTTCCATGAGCATTGTGCAGAGTCAGATAATTTTACCACAACCTTTGTTCCGTTGGTTGAAAAATTATTACGAGAACCATGAAATTGTCAAATGCACTGTTTGCCTATCCTCTCAATGCTCAAGAGTTCACCATGCATGGCTATGGTCCAGATGCACTAGTTAACCTTCTTAGTAAAAGTTGCTACTGTAAAGTGTTTGACATTCAACGTTTACCTTGTCCTCATGCATTAGCAACAATGAAACACCAACACAAGCTGGATTTTGGTTCAAGAATTTACACAGAACTTTGCTCCCCTCTTTATATGGAAAACCACTACATGCTGGCTTATTTAAAAATGATATATCTAGTTCCTCTAGAAGAGCAGTAGGTGGTGTCGCCAAGTTTAGTTGACATTATCATTCATCCCTCATTCAAGAAGACAGAAAAAGAGTTAAGCGTATTCCATCAGCCTGTGAGGTTCCTCGGAGGATGAATAAATGCTTAATCTGCAAGTAACCTGGCCATGAGGAAAGTTGTTGCTAGAATCGATCACATGCAGATCAAGAAAATTAGGTTCGAATCTATCAGAAGCAAGCAACCTGCCGTAAGATCTATAAATAAGAGCAGATCGCTTAAGCAATCGACTGTTATCTGTAGATTTGAACAGCAGATCACTTAAGTGATCATCGGTTGCTTAAGCGATTTGCTCATATCTGCAGCTCTCAACAATAGATCCCTTAAGCGACATAAGCAATCTTCTACTCAGATCAAATCTGGTGAACACCAGATCACTTAAGCAACAATTGGTCGTTTAAGCGATCTGGTGAACACTAGATCGCTTAAGCGACAGAAGATCACTTAAGTGATCTGATGAACTTATTATGTTTCTCTTAGCTGTATGCCAATCTTTTGTGGTGCATTAAACTGATTTTATGTCCTTGTATTTTCAACTATGCCATCAAGAAAAATGATGAATTCGAGAGAGTTGCCAAGGCCAACGTTGAAAACCTATTAATGAATCGAGAGAGTTGTCAAGGCCGACCGTTGAAGACTTGTTGTTTTCAATTTTTTATGTTTTCAATTTAATTGTTACCTTGAATAAATCATCTTTTATATTTTATTAAATAAAATTAATTATTTTTCATTTTCATCTAATTTAAAAAAGGTTTAAGTAAAATTTCTCATATTACATTTGTAAGGCATTGACTGCTGCCCAAAAAAGTAAGACAGACAAAATAAATATTATCAACATAATTGTCGTGTCAAATCAATCAATTTATTGAATTAGTCACGAGTGTGACACGTTAGTAAAAACGTACCTCATCTCACAAATATGGACGGTTATGATTGAATATAAAACTGACCCATAATACAAAATATAATTTCTCACTCAAACGTGCACAATATCAAAAGATTGAGGTGAAAAGAAGCAAAATGGCCTTGGTTGCTTAAGCGACGTCATCATCGCTTAAGCGATTACGGCTTATTTGTACATGATCGCTTAAGCGAGAGCTGACACCCCTTAAGCAATCTTGAATTTGAGAAGGAACAGTGAAGTACAAAGAAAATTGCCTTGGTTGCTTAAGCGATGTCGTATATCGCTTAAGCGATCATGACTTATCTGTACATGATCGCTTAGGTTAGAGATGACATTGCTTAAGTAATCAAGACTAATTTACTTTAATACTTAGAATAATCATTCTCAAATACACCATCGCTTAAGTGATTTCCGATATCATTTAAGCAATCTAGTATAGATAAGTCGTGATCGCGTAAGTGATAGCCAACGTCGTTTAAGCGACCAAGGCCAATTTGCTTCTTATCTCCCCAATCTTTTGATATTGTACACGTTTGAGTGAGAAATTATATTCCGTATTGTGGGTTAGCTCTATATTCAATCATAACCATCCATATTTGTGAAATGAGGTACTTTTTCTACTAACGTGTCACACTAGTGTGCTATGACATTCATCCATATATCATACGGTTGTATGTCAC